TTTCATTACGTAGGTATAAATGAACGTATTTATAGTAGTTCATTGATGAATTATAGTATTCTCTGCATTCGTTCGTTCATTAGCGAGCATTAACTATATTATTTGAATCACTTTGGCGAGTAATAAGTTCATGTAAACAAGGGAAAATGATGAATACTACATACGTATAACTTAACGAGCATTGAACTCGCTGGTTTTTTTTTTAATTAAAAGCTTTTAGGTCTTATTAATCTAATTATTATTTTCGTATTCCATTAAATTTTTTTTTTTTTTTTTTATTGCTTAGATGGGTGGACGAGCTCACAGCCCACCTGGTATTAAGTGGTTACTGGAGCCCATAGACATCTACAACGTAAATGCGCCACACACCTTGAGATATAGTTCTAAGGTCTCAGTATAGTCACAACGGCCGCCCCACCCTTCAAACCGAAACGCATTACTGCTTCACGGCAGAAATAGGCAGGGCGGTGGTACCTACCCGTGCGGACTCACAAGAGGTCCTACCACTAGTAATTACGCAAATAATAATTTTGCGGGTTTGATTTTTACTGCACGATGTTATTCCTTCACCGTGGAAGTCAATCGTGAACATTTGTTGAGTACGTATTTCATTCGAAAAATTGGAACCCGCCAGCGAGATTCGAACACCGGTGCATCGTTCGATACGAATGCACCGGACGTCTTATCCTTTAGGCCACGACGACTTCACTCCAAATAGAGAGGTGTTCCACTTAATAATATTTCGTCCTTGGATCATTTTATTTTAAGAACTTGGAAATATTTTCGAGATTTAAGGACTCATTAGTTCTTTGAGTTTATTATAATCAATCCAACATTTACTGTTTTTACTTTAGAGTGTAATTAAATCAGACAGGGGGGTTTTGTAGTTCGGTATGATCTCTATCAAAGCATTTCAGTTGTGAAAATCAAACATCGCGATGAAATTAACTTGCGTAATGACACTACAGAGCGGTTGTCACTGTAGGCCCGGGCAGAATTCTGTTTCAAAGGAGTCTTGCGTTCTGAGCAGTCTCTATGTAAATACAATTAAGACTTCGCCCTTCATGTCTGTGGGTTTTGCGCTATCTACCACCAGCAACCGGTGACCATATTCGATCATATTCGCGTTTGCCTGTCCACAACCAAATTCGGATTATTTATTTTGGTTTCAATGTCACCAGTGTGCTTAGTGCGAGTTTTTTAACGTTCTCGATAGCGTAAAAGTTAGCTCATATTTGTATGGAATGGGATCGTTTGCGTACGTTTGCCGCTAGGGGCGTTGTTCCAACTGCATACAAAATTGGGTTAACTTTTACGCTATCGAGAACGTTAAGAAACTCGCACTAAGCACACTGAACATATTTGTTAAATGTCAAATAAGTACCATCGACTCGCGGGCTCCAAAAAATCACAGATCCAAGACGATAAATAAGCTAACTTTTTAAATTATTTTCCCTCGGGTAAGTAGGTCACGAGACAATAGATTCACTTGAATTAAAACAGCTACATTCATCCGTCGAAATAGACGATAAAAATAAATTTACGTTTATCATCTGTTCGGTTTATTGTCAGAAGCATTCTACTTTGATGTTCAAGGATTATATTCATAGGACAATGTGAACATTCGTAATAATAAATAATGATGAAAAATTCATGATATATGATTATTAAATGTTCTAGAAGTTTCTACTAGTTGAACCGCGCAATCACGTTCTTCTTTAAGCTTGTAATTCTTAAATGCTTATAAATAACATTTGTCATTTACTGAAATCAATAGTACGACTCTCCGATGATTATTATAAGAACTCACGTCGGTTCTCTGTACAGAAGGCGCGTGAAAGAATCTCAAACAAACGAACTAACTTAGTTTCTATTATTGTTTTAAGTTGAGAAAATAATTTGACAGTATTCCAAGAAATTCTCTCAGGAAATTATCGGGTGCCGTAAATATGCTTTGTTTAACATGCATTTGATTATAACATGTAAATGTTTTGGTTGAATCATCGAGCTTTCCATATGTTGTACTCAAATATATTTGCGAATACAATTGACTGAGTTGCGCTTAAAGGTATTCGAGCTGATTGCTCATTTTATGCACACAAAGTGTAGAAAAGACACCACGCAATACCCACGCGGTGACTGCTTGCGGTGTGTGTGGGAAAAACCTATTAAACGCATAATATTCCACGGCAATGATCTATCCCAGTATAGTAATAGACACCCACTCTCGTAATTATTTCTATAAATGTAAGAAAATGTTTCTGTTCAATGAAATTAATTGTGTTCAAGTATGTCATAATATGGTCACTGGCTAAAATTGGCGACGAGATCATAGCGGTACAGAGTTGTTTCATTAGAAAATCTATGACTAATATTGGCGTTACAATCGTTATACTATTATTATGTAGTGTATTCGAGTTAATTTAAGACGAAACGCGCGTTTATTTTCGCCCAAAGAAACGCATTCCCAGGTTTCCTCTTTGATTAATAAAACTACAGCAAATATTTGTTTACCTTATTGTCTGTATTTATCGCTGCCCTACGGTTTTTTTTAAATATATTAATGTGATATATAATATTTTCAATTACGCATTTTATTTTGGAGTATCGAAGGCTGGTCGCTTTTTTAATGTTTTATTTTAGACTTCATTGACTCCGACTTTATTTACGTCTCGAGGTTACGGCTTTACGACGAGGTTACGTCATAAAAGTTTAAACTTCAAGTTTGCTCTTTTGTCACTATTCATGTACATATGTATTTAATTGATTTTCTAATAAATAACAAAATTCAATTGACTTTGCCAAACATATAGAATACCATTTATTTGTATTTTTTACTTTCTCCTGTTGACGATTCAAGATACATTAATCGAATTATCTATCGAAGACGGAAGAACATCCATGTACAAAAATTAGATACATTAGTAAGGTAGCTTAAGAAATACAAGGCAATAAATAGCTTAGTTATCATCATAAGAAAGAGAACTATTGACACCAATTAACCCGTATACAGACAGATTGTTCACTACTAACTTTATTATTTACGAGGTCAGATTGGTAGCTGTGTTTGAATATATTTTTTAATAATCTATATAGACCCGTGCGGATAACGCAAATTGAAATGTCAGTTTTTGTTTTTATGAGAAAAATATTCGTAAAAAATTATGCGGTTCACGATAACTATTTTATATATTACGATAACTATTGCATTTAACAAGATATTCATTTTATAAGTTACAAAATTAATACTTTTATAACTTGTACTAATAGTTTTATTACTGAAATTATCTTATATGTAAACGGTATATATTTTGTTTATTGTATGTATATATTTTCTATAATAATGTATTATCTATAGTACACCGCAACATACCTGATATATTTTTTATATTTTACAGAATTTCTATAAATTAAACGGTTGTCTGGAAGAGATCGCTTTTAGCGATAAGACCGCCTATTGTACAAATGTATCTCTCTCTCTCTCTCTCTCTCTCTCTCTCTCTGTCTCTTTAATTTTAAAGTAAACAGAAGGACGCGCATATTTAATATTTTACTTTTCCTTTCAATGGAATCCAATGCCGAAAGTAAAAGTATACAATGACTTAAAATCCAGATGCGCTGTGCGTCGTCTGGTTCAATGATAAACCAGTATTCCGTGTAGGCAGGCGCGATTTGCAAAACTCGTTGCGTTGTTTACGCTATCAAACATACATACTTTACGAATGCGTTGGAATCTATTTACAGACAATGCATACAGGCTTATAACCGATAACAGGAGAAATTGCGAAAGTAAGAAGCTCGTTCGTTTTATCTCAAAATTATAGTGCTCGTTGGACATGCTAGCGTTTGTGGTCTATTGGGTAAGACGCACAATTTCTTTGTATCGACTGATGCAACAATGTTGGGACTGAAATTAACTAGTATCCATTTTTCTTAGTAAAAACAATTTCCACGTCGCAGAGCATCATGTAAACAAATAAATTCCATAGACACAGCCCGTTGAGTTTCTCGCGGGATCTTCTCAGTGGGTCCCGATTCCGATCCGGTGGTAACGAAACACTACTTTTGTTTGGGGTAGTGCTAGCACATTTTCTCAGGTTGAGCCCCGAGAGCTCATTTATTAGTCATAGCGTAGCTGGAATAGCCCATTAGGTTACTAGCGAATAGGAAGAGGAAAATAATTTATTATTTATATATTAATAATTAATTATTATAATTAATTATTATAATTTTTGTTTTATTATTATTATTATTATTTAGGTTTTTGTTTTTATTATTATTGTTTTTGTTTTAGTCCGAGATTAGTTATTATTTTTATTTAATTTTAGTATAAATGAAATGTTAATGCAATGTAATGAAGACGTGTAATATGGATGTAAAATCTGAAGTAAATTAAATAAATTAAATAAATAAATAAAATAAAAAACTCAAAGCTGTTTGTACGGATAGATGCCGTGATCCTAACTATTTCTGCTACAAAGAAATAGTATGATCGGGTTTGAAAATAGGACAGCCGCTCCACAATCGAGCCGAAATTTCGATCTAATAGCTTTTGGTGGGCCGCATTCGCTTTGTGATATCTACAGGCTTCAATGGCCACTTAACACCAAGCCGCGTGAATTCGTCTGTTGATCTATACTAATCTAGAGCAATGCTTCTGCTCTGGTGTTATTTAATGTAAAAAAAAACATAAATATTATTAATAAAATTTCACAACGATTTGAATGACTTACTATTGTTAGTTTGTTACCATTACCAAGCTTAGTCACTAGTGCCCTATGAATATGATGAAGTGACATTCTTGTATGTTTCTCATAATGTCATCTTATAAAAATTATTGAATGACATACTTTGGATACAGTTAAATGAATGAGTAATGGGCTCTAACCTTGGTACCGTCAATGTACGGATCTTATTTCTCGCTAAAGATTCAAAGATTTTTCGGTTCTTATTGACTGTATGACATCAGCACTCAAGTTGTTCACTGAGTATTGGAGTCCCACGGCACCAGCGCAGTCCATGACGGCATGTTAGGAGAACTGCACGTATACACAAGCAATTAGCACGACACGAACAATATTCTGGTATGGTTCTGTGCGCGAAATAGTGGTTTTGTTATTCGATATATTTAAATGCGGATTTAATTGAGATTGAACCATGGAAGCACTTAAGAACTGGTGGAGATATTACTTTGGGGGACGCCGTAAATATATTATGGTGCCATTTAAGCCAGGTAAACAAATATGTAAAAACTTTTTAGAATATACTTTTTTTTGTAAATTTAAAACATTATACGAATTATAGAGCTGCCCTTTGATTGTTTGGGAATGCAGAAAAAAATTAATTTTTTCAAATTAAGAAACAAATGAAATCTCAAGAACTTTAAATCATACTTATTTATAATATTACAAATGCGACAATGAGATTGTTTGTTTGTGTGTTACGTTTTCTTATCTTAATGAATGGTTGAAACGGATGAAATGGTTGTTAGGGGTAGAGAAAAGGAGATAGGTCATCTACATTTCATCAAGAATAAAAGTAATATTTTTGAGGAATTGTTTTTTTTTCTATCTAAATTTACTCGAGTTACATCTTGAAGACATTTCCGAATTTAGAAACAACCGAATGTCAATTAACTTTTAATTTTTGGTAAGTTTTGAAGGATTCATAAATTTGAAATCAATATTGACGGAAGGTGGCTATTGAAATGGTTTGGCATCGGGCCAGAACCTATTAGCGGTTCGATTGGAGAGACGAATAGCTGATGACCGAGGCTGACGAATGTGTAAAAAATAATAATTATCAATATTACTTTATTTAATTGCCCTTAAAGGCAGATGAGCATGGACCCACCTAACGGTGAGTGGTTACAGTCGCTCGTGTACGTCAGCAAAGCCTACTGAGTATCTCGTAGGATCTTCTCAGTGGGTCGCGTTTCCGATCCGGTGATAGATTCTGCGAAGCACTGCTCTTGCTAGGGCCAGTGTTAGCAAAACTTCCGGTTTGAGCCCCGACAGCTCATCTACACGCTAGGGTCACGCTGATATGGCCACTGATGGCTATCAGCATAGGTAGGAAAAAAAATACGTCATCAATGCCAGTGGTAGAGCCAAGCCGCTGCCTACTGTATAACCATACATAAATATATATGTTTAAGTGTATATCTATGATTACATAACATTGTCCGTACAAATTTAGCGAACATTTCAGTCAATACAAGCATTTGTGATGAAATTATTTAGACGAACGTTTTCAGACTTTTGTCACAGCTGCACACGGTGTCTGACGTACGACTTAAAGTTATTCGCAGTTTTTATTATTTGGTTTGAATAAATAAAATAAATGAATGCACATACTGTTATGTATCGGCCAGGTATTTTTAAACATTTTTTATCTAGTGTGGCATCGTATTTGAGTCGTCTATTATCAAAGGTGGCAATCTGTGCATTTGGACAAATTTTTTTTATTGATATGTCAATACAGATTGATTTGAATATAATCGTCTCCTTCAAAGAATACGGTTCAAAACCTGCATTAAATAAAGGTTAATACTTAACCTGCTATTTATCTAAGATGTCGTTCAGATGAGTTTTGTGACTGCCAATGGAATACAAAGTCAATAATTCGTTTTTCTGTTTTACCAATAATTGTCCAAAAGTCACATTGCCGGCTTTGATAATAGTCGACTCATTTATCAAACGTGTTACTTATAAGTAAATGTGAAATAAGAAACCTAGGTTCAGAAATCGATCTTATTTGTTGGTAAATTGCTAATAAAATATGTAATTATCGTAATAAAGTATAGTAACATATGGATCTTTAATGTACGTTATATTGTATTTATTTGTAACTCGCTCGCATTATATATGCATTTTTGTTACATATTATAATTTTTTTACTGGTGGTAGGATTTGTGAGTCCGCACGGGTAGGTACCACCACCCCGCCTATTTCTGCCGTGAAGCAGTAATGCGTTTCGGCTTGAAGAGTGGGGCAGCTGTTGTAACTAACTATACTTGAGACCTTAGAACTTATATCTCAAGGTGGGTTGCGCATTTGTTGTGGATGTCTATGGGCTCCAGTAACCACTTAACACCAGGTGGGCTGTGAGCTCGTCCACCCATTTAAGCAATAAAAAAAAAAATTAGAATTGGTATCTTGGTGCGATTAATTTTAAAACAAACGTTATTTACAGATGTGATCGACGGAACGAGACAAGGTGTCTTATCGGTGCAAAACATTGATTTCTGCACTGACATCAATGGAGAACATCACCACACCAGCAGATACAATTTGATGACCAGGGATGAAAAAAAATGTTTAGTTGTCCGTAGAGGACAGCCCTTCACGCTTGATCTGTTGCTCAATAGGGCATATGATCCAGATAAAGACGCTATTTCATTCATCTTCTATGTGTCTGGTAAGAAATCAACTGTCCGGCGATTGTGTTTTAGGTAGTTTATGAAAATGTGCGATGTTCTGTATAGAGATCATATCTTTAAGCAAGCCCGGTCACCATCCCCGTCGAACCCGTCGCTTGCAACGAAGGGCTCGACGAGTAAATTAACCCATAGACACAGCCCACTGGGTTTCTCGCCGGATCTTCTCAGCGAGTTGCGTTTCCGATCTGGTGGTAGATTCTACGAAGCACTGCTCTTGCTAGGGCCAATGTTAGCAACATTCCAGTTTGAGCCCCGTAAGCTCACCTACATGTCAAGGAGAAGCTGAAATAGCCTCTCAAGGCTATCAGCATAAGTAGGAAAAAAAGGCAAGACTGTGACCGGGGCTCTTGAGTACAACGTTAATATAAGTTGAAAACAAAATTTTAATTATAATTACATATTTCAATAGGACTACAATATATGATTGAGCTCATCAGAATCTGAAATAGGACAATATGTAGGGTAATTATAATTATTCGCTTGGCAGCCAGCTTGTGATATTCTATCGCACCGAGTATCTATTAGCTCTCGAAGGGCCCACCATATAGAGTAGCGATCAAACCAAAAAAGGTCATTAAAGTATATAAATATAAACACTTCACCGCCTAAATATGTTACGGATTATTACACTAATTCCTCTTATCTAGAGCCTGAGACTAAAGGCCCCACACGATAATACTCTATATGGTTGATCTGTATTTACATTAGGTTACATACCCACTACATACCTTGAGTACGAGAGCCTTCATGCCTTGGTAGCATCTGTGTTTCTGCCGCGCAGCTTATTATGCCTTCTTTTCCAACGGTCGAGTTGTTAATCTATTTGATTAGAGAATTTCTTATTTGCATAGACGAGTGAACAAGCCACGATTCATCTGATTTTGAGCAGTTATCAGAGGCCATAGATATCATTACGTGAATGCCGACTCCCACTTTGAAATATAAGGTCTGAGTCTCAATTGTAATATAACAGTTGTTCCATTCTTCAAACTGAAACGCATTACTGCTTCACGGCAGAAATAGGCAGGGTGGTGGTACCTGGGTGGTGGTGGTACCGTGCGGACTCACAAAACATCCTACCACGAGTAAAAATCAGGTTATACTAAGCGGACTGTGATCTGGTCTACCCATGTATATACTATATTTTAGACACAAGCTGCCAATTAGCTAGTCTAAGCATCTAAATGTTTGGCTCAAGGCAAAATAAAATATAGAAGTCGTTACAAGAAAAAACGGTGTTATGTAAACAATCGTCCTACGCAGTCATGACTAACTTGAACAATATTGAATAATAGTGAATGAATTAGTTAATAATAAAACAGTAAATACATTTGATACACGGTAGTCTTTTTTTCTTCTGTCAAAAAAACGTGCTGCTGTCCGTCTGGTATTCCTCCTCTTCCTTGCTCTCCTCATTACTGAGGGTCGTGACTCCCCCGCTGCATCAATCTCTCATGTGCTCTCCATCTACTGCGATCCTTTTTTTTATTGCGTAGATGGGTGGTCGAGTTCACAGCCCATCTGGTGTTAAGTGGTTACTGGAGCCCATAGGCATCTACGACGTAAATATGCCACCCACCTTGAGATATAAGTTCTAAGGTCTCAAGTATATAAGCAGTTACAACGGCACCCTTCAAACCGAAACGCATTACTACTTCACGGCAGAAATAGGCAGGGCGGTGGCACCTACCCACGCGGACTCACAAGAGGTCCTACCACCAGTTGGCCTCGTGAAGCATACGTTATACGAAATTCTCTGATTGACAGATATCGAAAAGCGTGGGCCTTCAGATGGGACGTCCGCAGCCGTGCCTCTATTGGAAAGAGGCTCTGAAACAGTTGGATTGTGGAGTGCGGTCTATGAGAGTCAAGTGGACTCTCATCTCATGGTGTCGGTGACGGCGGCCGCTGACTGCATGGTTGCCGCTTGGAAAGTTGACATTGACACAAAGCTCATTGGGGGTAGCTCATTGAGTTACACTCACCCGTTGCCAATCTACGTATTGTTCAATCCTTGGTGTTTGAATGATTCTGTGTACATGCCAGGTATTTTCAGATATTCACTTGATAATATTTGAATTCTCTGTTAAAACAGTTTATATTCAGTCTGCATCTGTTTTCGATAAAACTATTTATATCGTGAGTTCGACGTTCTATTGATTTCCGACGTAAGAGTTAAAGTGGATGATTTGTTCAAAAATATTTGAAGTTTATATTAATAGGTATTCGATGCCATTTCACTGGGTTTTAATGTATTTAATAAGTAATTAAGTTAACTTCAAATACCATTAACACTTCAAGTAACATTGGTGCAGTTGGGTTGCATGATCATATTTTAGTTACATACACAAAGATAGAAACCAGATAAGAGTGTCTCAGTGGTACTTTTAGAGGTTTTTGAAACCCATGATTGAGTTAATTATTAGGACATTCTAAAAGTGTTCGATATATTTCAGTTACTTTCAGCGATTTTACATTTTAATTTAACATACACGTTCAATAACACGTTAGTTAAATTTGTAGAATTTAGTATAAGACCCTTGAAATATTCGTTAACATTTTCAGGTGAGAGTCATAGAGACGAATATGTATTGGAACAAGGAGGACTTATGTTCAGAGGAGTGTACAACATAATTAAGCCGACACCGTGGAACTACGCGCAATTTGAAAAAGATGTCTTAGACTGTGCTCTTTATCTAGTCAGGGAAGTTGGGAAGGTAATATGAAGCATACGCAATATTAATACAATACCTAGCCTACAATTAATACAATACAATGATGAGTAATAAACGTTCAGAATCGATAAATCTCGATAGTAGCGACATTAAGTCGAATTTTCCTTTAAGGAAACTATTTTGTGGATTGTCCTTTTTTTGAATTAAGACTTTTAGATTAATGTTTATATTTTTTTGGAAAAAAAAGTTTTTCTATAATTGCTAACAGATAATTTTAATCCAATAGTTATTCTAGATTCTAGATCTCTTAATCTCTAGTTTTAATCAATAGACACAACGTTCCATTACATACTGAAATCTTCAAAGGTTTTTACTTACTGTCATTTAAAAAAATGTTGTGCTATTTTTTACCGTTATTATTTATTTGCTAGCATTTTGAAATCAAATCGGAAATAATATATAAAGATAAATTTGCTAACTCAAGTCTCTCAATAAGTCTCTGGTAACTATATCTTAATTTGTTTGGTTTTGATTAAGATAAAAATGATTTGAATAGTCTCGTTGTCTCGAGAACGACTTACGACCGCAATACTAAGCTAACGATCAATCGAATAATTACCAAGTCGATAGTCACCGACCTTACTCGCATATTTATCGCATTGCATAAGCGTACTAAACTACAAGCTTTTGCACTGTCAGAAGATTGTGTGAAATTTTTGAAATCTTTTACTCATTACTTTTAAAAACCAAGTATTTACAACAACAAAATGTAGTTCTGTGTTAAACGATAGTTGCATATGTTATTCATATATGTATTCGCAGAATAATGCAAAAAAAAAAGGTTATTACGGATAGGGCGTGTTATCTGCCTCCATAGGTAGATTGCAGATAGCATCGTATTCTTATATTTACTGCGGAACAGTTTTAGAACCGTATGCCATCGACTTAATGTTCAGTGGCGTAGGTGGCTATAGCATACAAATTCCGTGGCAAATTCATCGGATGGGACCTCACTAAGCGTTGTAACGTTGCAATTTAATTTTGATAAAGCAATGAAGTAGTTAAAAGCCGAAAGGAGAAAGCCCTGAACAGAGCAGTCTGGAGAGACATACTGGACCAGGCTAAGGCCCACCCTGTAAGGCTGTGAGGCCTAAGATGATGATGATGAATGAAGTAGTTACTCGTATTAATTAACTGTAAATTTTTTTATCCTTGCTTATTCGTTGTTTGCCTAAGAGGCTACGCCCGGACTGGTAGGAGCGCGCAAGGGCTCAACTTGAGAGAATTTGCTAACACTAGCCCTAGCGAGAGTAGTGCTTCGCAGAATCTACCACCGGATCGGAATCGCGACCCACTGAGAAGATCCGGCGAGAAGCTCAGTGGGCTGTGTCTATGGGTTAGGCTGTAATACTAATATGACTTGATTGACTGATATGATTTGACTGACTCGGTGGGGCAGTAGTTGGCGCCAATAGAATGGAACGGGATGGAATGGAATGGTTTTTATTAAAAGTTGTTAGAAATGTTACGTTACTATGTTTCAAGAAGGGGTAGGTACAAGTGACGAGTGGCGGCGACCGAGAGCACATCAGCCGAATCTTAAACTAATCTACCGCTTTAGATAAAAAAAAATTAAATTATTAGTAAAAATTACTGTATAATAAAATAGAAAATAAAAAAATTATGAGTAAAAAATACTGTATACTAAAATTAAAATAATTAAACAGTCTTCTTTAGACAGTCTGTACTGCTTGTTATTTATAACGTTATTGTTCATCTTAATTCAAGATTTTTTTAAATTACTTTTCTTATATCTACAATCTATTAATAAAACTTTCGTTTTATTTGCTGCCACCTGCATTCAACGTGACCTAGCGATTTTTAATAGGTCGTCGGTCCATCTGATAGGTGGCCGTCCCACACTGTGCTCAACAGTACGTGGTCTCTGCTGAAGGATCCTTTTGTCCCATCAGCTACTGTTAGTATCGAATTTCTATAATATTTTGGACGTTACAGGTCACAGGAAGCGGTAGAAGTAGCGCCATCCGGACTGCCCGAGCTCTTTCGGCAGCCGTGAACGTGCAAGACGACAATGGTGTGCTATTCGGAAATTGGGGCAAAGAGCTGAGTGATTACGACGGAGGAACGCATCCTTTGAAGTGGGTTGGCTCTCTAGCAATCCTACAGAGGTTTTACGAGAAGAAGAAGCCCGTAAAATACGCCCAATGTTGGGTATACGCCGGAATTTTAACGACAAGTAAGTTTGAATTTATTGGATACTAGCGACGCGCCCTCGCCTCGCTTCGGAAACTGTAATTTATTATTGATTTCTCCACTATTTAATGGATGTTATTATACCTAGAAACCTTCCTCTTCAGTCACTCTATCTATAAAAAAAAACCGCATCAAAATCCGTTGCATAGTTTTAAAGATTTAAGCATACATAGGGATATAGGGACAGAGAAAGCGACTTTGTTTTATACTATGTAGTGATTTAGCATGACTGTTTTTTTTTTGTAAGACCCATACAAATACGTATGAAGGTCATTAAATTTGTTTGCACGACAATGCATACACAAATAAGAGATTCGAACTAAAGTGAAATTTGGATGTATTAATATAATAAAGAGGGGATCAAATTAGGAATGATTCACATAGCAATTGCATATTACTAAATTTCTTCTATTGTAAAATTTATTAAATGTTACTTTCTGCTTATCCATATCTCATTTGATGGATACGTTGTAAGATACATCCATGTTCTTGTTTGACTTAGCGTCTAGTTTTACGACCTGTATCTTTGGCCTTGCACTTAAATTACCATGTTCAAATATATACAAAGCTGATTTATTACTTGATTTAAAAAAAATTGCTTACTGTTAAGTTCTTTCCAAGCATTAAGTTATATTCGCATTTTCTGTGGTTGCAGTTTGTCGGGCACTCGGAATTCCCTGCAGGCCGGTAACTGGTTACGATGCAGCTCACGACAGTCAAGGAAGCCTCACGATTGACATAATCATGGACGAGGAAGGAAATACGATGGACGAATTCACTCGAGACTCCGTATGGAACTACCACGTTTGGAATGAAGTACGTTTTGAGTGTAATGATAAATACAACATTAATTCTAAATTATATAAAGAAAAAAAAGCAGTTTTATAGGTTGTCGATGCAAAACAAATCTACGTAAATCAATATAATTTCAATTTCGAATTATTATAGCCTAAATATAATTAATTTCATGTTTTGATCGAACTTAAAATTTTGTATTATCTTGGTGTTCGCGAGTAGTAGATACAATTAAAACGTCTGTTATAGTTTAATCTCGGATTTTTTGGTAGCAAAAGGGAAAAGAATTCCACCGTAAAGTGGTAGTTTTAATAATTTTTTTAATGGGTTCAAATCACGCACGCTCATTCTGCCTCCGATTAGGATTCCTTGTCTTATGGGCACTAGATACTGATATATACATATATATAGATAGTAAACACACAAACAAAGAACAAACAAACCTGTTCATCAGGGCCGCTAAATACTGCATCACCGAGTCAGTCAATTATAATTTATAATCTCTGACTAAAGCTTGAAGCTATGAAGAAGGTTGCGTTCGAATCTTATATACATTTCAATTAATTAAGGTATGGATGGAGCGGCCGGATCTGGGCCCCCAATACGGAGGCTGGCAAGCTCTGGATGCTACTCCACAAGAAACATCAGAAGATAAATTCCGGTGCGGGCCGGCTTCGTTGAAAGCAATTTTAGACGGGGAATTACAGCGGCCATATGATGCTACATACGTATTCGCACAAGTAAACGCTGATAAAGTGAGTAGATTTGTTTAAAATTTTAATTGTGAACGAAAACAATTCGTCCAAAAAACATTAATCAAAAGAATATACATTGGTTTTGTAATTAAATTGACATACATACATCTTGGGATTACGATTAATTGAGTATCAATAAGACATTTAATTCAAAGTTGCCGTAAAAGAATATTCTTATTTATTATCTTATTAATTTGTTTAAAGTTCTAAAATCTACTTGCAGAGAGGTAATATTGCATAATATATATTATGCTTGTTCTATGGAAAAGAGAACTGAATTCTTTGCTAATGTCCATCTCTAGTTATCTAAATAAATATTTACACAATAATTATTTACCGACAGATTTTATGGAAATATTCTGGGGAAATTCAACCACTAAAGTTAATGGCACGTGACACCACCTCTATCGGGCAGAATATCTCAACTAAAGCGATTGGAAGAATGGAAAGAGAGGTAATGTACAAAACTCATTTAAAAAAATCAACATTTAAATCTACTGAGCTGAATATGAGCATTTAGTTTTGATACATTTTTATATTATTTATATGCTTTACGTGTTATTCACTGATTCTATAAAGTCTACATATCAGGTACATAATTAAAGATTATTTATTCATAGATTACTAATAGTTATAAAATAATGAAATTATTATACGTAGGAGTCTGTTAGTGAAACATTGTATGTATTAATGGCGCTAAATTGTAAACCATTGCATATTCTAGGTTTATTGCACATTTAGATTTTAAAATGGGTTAATTTTAGAAGTAAATTCGAGGTAAAGTAATTGCATGTTGTGAATTTTGGGGAGCGCCGCGTCGCGGCGTCGCGTCGCGCCGGGTTTCCATGTAAAAGAAACGCCGCGCCCGGGCGTTCGTTGATCCGAGCATCAGCTGTTTTTGATTTACTGTTCCATTGCTGGTTTTTTTTTTAAATAAAGTAATATATTTTTATGAAACTATCATTTCATTTAGCTGTACTGACATAATGGAGCGTAAATAATGCTAATAAAACGTTTTAAAAATATGATTTTTTTTAAAAATCAGGATCGATTTTTTTCCGCCACATGATCATTAGTACTATGTCTGTTTTCATTTTCGGAAGCGGCCGCCAAAAACCCAGTATATTAATATAGCCAACTATGAGTATATAACTAATGAAACTATAAATAATAAAAATAAACTATATAGTTAGTTAATGGAAGAATTGGATTCGAGCCCTACACCCCAGCAGAGGGTAATTAATAGGAAAGAAAGAAGAAGAACTATAAAGAAGTCTGTGCATTATATTTGTTTTAAATGTAATGAAAATACTTTCAATTTTTTTGTGTAATTGAATGTCCGATGATTATGTTTATATTTTTGTTTTGTTCTAAATAATCTGATGACATTTAATCTTATACAATACGATGATGTGATGGCTAAATGGCAGGTTGAAACAAATCTAAACTTAGCTGCCAAGCATCATTTTCATCGTATATGATTTGTTGTTTGAGTCATCACAGACGTATCTAACAAATAATTATTTCATTGAAGGTAATGAAAATGTCATGATGTCATAACGGAAAGGTCGACTGGAAATAATTTTTATATAGAGAGTTGTTTGTATGGCATTAATTAACAATGACATCAACACTATACCTATACGATTTATTCACAATAAAAATGATTGTATTTGTTTCAATTATAGTGGATTTCCTAAAATGCAGATACAGTAACTAGGAATAAGTAGGTCGTCTTGTGTGCTCGCCCGGGTAGGTACCACAACTCCGCCTAATTTTGCCATGAAGTAGTAATGCATTTAAAGGGTGGGGCAGCCGTTGTACTATAAAACTGAGATTTAGAACTCAGGTCTCAGGGTGGGTGGCGGTTGATGTTTATGGTATTCGATAATCACTTAACATCAGGTGCGCCGTGATTTCTACAACCCATCTAAAGAATAAAAAATTGCCTGTTTTTCTTCATAATTATTACGTAATTACTAGTGGGACAGTCAACTGATAAAACGCACGGGTGCACCACTCTTCTACTTATTAGGGTAAGACGTATCTGTTGCAATACAATAACACTAAGATTTCTATGACAAGTCACAAAATGGCTGGCGGAATTCACGTTATCCTGTCAGTAAGCTCGCGAGCTTATCTAGAGCAATTTAAAGACATTCAATTATAAATATATCTATCTTCTATCTATATACTTATATATAAAAATGAATTGCTTTTCGTTAGTCTCGCTAAAACTCGAGAACGGCTGGACCGATTTGGCTAATTTTGGTCTTGAATTATTTGTGGAAGTCCAGAGAAGGTTTAAAAGGTAAATAAATATGAAAATGCTCGGAATTAAATAAAAATAACAATTTTGTTTTTCCTTTGATGTGTCCCCCGTCGGACGGATTCCTTTTGTTTGTTTTAAGTTTACTTTATACAAAAGTTTAGGTCTTTTATTTATCGATTGAGGCACTACAAAGTCTGCCGGGTCGGCTAGTTATAATTAAACTTGTGTTACAGGATATCACCGACACATACAAATACCCGGAACGAACGCGCGAAGAGAGAATGACAATGGAAAAAGCGTTGCGCAAATCAGAGAACATCTTCGCTCGGTACTATTTGAACGATGCCTTCAATGACGTCACCTTCGAGTTTGATCTCAGAGACGACATTAAGATCGGACAGGACTTCAGTGTGGTACGCTGTTTTGTTTTTTAATCCACCCTGTGATTCAATAGACTTTGAACTACGTTACCCATAAACGAACCTGGACGTGCTAATCCGATTTCGCAAGGTCGAACACACAAATCTCGACAACAAGCACCGAAACAAAATTATAGGATTATAAACAAAAGCCTGTTCACCGTTTTCTATTGATAATATTATATTATTTACACGATCAATTTATATACGCTGAAAACACTGCGAGCGAATTAACCCATAGACACAGCCCACTGAGTTTCTCGCCGGATTTTCTCAGTGGGTCGCGTTTCCGATCCGGTAGTAGATTCTGCGAAGCACTGCTCTTGCTAGGGTCAGTGTTAGCAACACTTCGGTTTGAGCCCCGTGAGCTCACCTACACACGTTAGGGTGAAGCTGAAATAGCCTCTCAAGGCTATCAGCATAAGTAGGAATAAAAAAAAAAAAGTAAAAGAGTAATGTTGATTAGCTATGCGAATATGCCGAAGCCAATGGAATCACGATTTTTTTCTACAGCAATACGTAACACATGTCCCCAAACGATTCCAACGATGAAATAATAACATAATGTAACAATATTTTGGAAAAAATTAGAATTTGCTTCGCGATTCCGATCTGGTGGTATATTCAGCGAAGCGCAGCTCTTGTTAGGGCTCTCTGATTTCCATGCGCTTACCTACCCGCGCGTAGTTTTGATAGCTCCTTAGGGCATAGATTATCGACGATTAGGGAAGGGAAAAAAGTAATTCAGAAATAGAGCAGGTTTCCAATTAAGCGTATATACCTACTTCAAATTACTAGATCAAATCAGTACGCTGATTCCCTTCTCAGGTCTTGCATATGAAAAATCGTTCGACGATCAATGAACATCAAGTCAAAGGCACGTTGCGAGTGGACACAGTGACGTACGCCGGCGTCACCGGAGACGGTGTGAAGCGATATGAATTCGACATGAAACTCAAGCCAGAACAGAAAGAGAAAGTGCAGATGCTGGTCACCTTCGACGATTACTTTAAAAAGCTTATTGATCAGGTCAGTAGTAGTAGTAGTGGTGGTGAGTAGTAGTGGTTTGCTTCAGGGCAAATAGTCGATTGTTTTGTTATGTTATTGTATTGTTAGTTTAAGTAATACGATAGTCAATGGCTTAGTACAGCGGCTCTTAATATTTTTACTCAGCGACGTACTGATTCATTAAAAATTCGCGACATCTTTAAGTGCAAAATTTTTGATAATTGAATTGAGTTGAAGATAGGTGCATTTTTGAAATTATGCATTTAAAATATTGTGAATTAAAAGTTATTTAGTTAACATCTAACAAAAGGTGGATCCCTGAGTTTTCACCTGGTCACTTAATAAATTCGTGAGTTTCCAACATGGAGTCTATTTCTGGAATGAAATTCCCTAGCGCTATCAAAGAATATTTTAAGTTATATCGCTTACTGAATTAAGTGTGGATTAAGATCGTGTCTCATATACTCAACCAAACTAATAAGAATGTATTTTTATTGTTATTATTTGTTTAAAAACAAAACCGGACGTAAATTTCAAATGTTTCTAAAATAATCATAACAAACATTGAAATTGGGACAACGTCCGTTCCGTCAGCTAGATATTATGTATTTTACGATACTTAGATAGTCAAATTTTTCGCGTAGTAGTAATATACTTAATATTGTGTATTGATATTATAATTGAAAACAATTTTATTCGTACACAAAATAAAAAAAAACACTGTGCTTGCAGGCATCCTTCAACATCGCATGCCTAGTCACGATCGTAGATCGAAAATTCGACTACTTCGCTCAGGACGATTTCCGGGTCCGGAATCCTGACATCAAAATAACGATTGACGGCAAACCGGTCTCCCGCCAAGAGTTTACCGTTCACATCAAAGTGGAGAATCCCTTGCCTATTCCGTTGAAGAACGGCAAGTTTTATATTCAAGGTCCAGGTTTGGATGAGCAGCTCAGAATTGCATTAGACGAGGTATGTAAAAAAAGTTATGATATAGAATCTTAACACTTCTTCGCATTGCCCGTACACTTTGGATAATCAGGAGACAATATATTCCTATTCCCATTTTTTTATTTGCCTTGTGGTAATATTACCGCTCAGTATACCAAATCACTGAGGATGTCGCCTGAGCAACCCAATGGGTCGCGATTCCGATCCGGTGGTAGATTCAGCGAAGCACTGCTCCTGCTAGGGCCGGTGTTAGCAAAATCTCCCAAGCTGAGTTCCTACATTGAGCTATACATTCGGTGAAGCCAGAATAACCCCTCCAGGTTACTGGTAGTAACTAGCTAAATAAATAAAAAAAGGGTTTACCTAAATTAAATCTTGATCGGGACAGCAGACCTTGTGATGGGCAATACGGACATGAATAATTTAGACATTTAAGTTAGAGAATAGAGTCAGAAATTTTATTAGTACATCCTGGCTGAGAATGCATTTCAAATATTATATAATCACTTGTTTAGTTTGGATAAAATAAGTTTGAAACATAAAACCTTAAGCGCCATCTTTGGTAACTCTTTTAAAACAAAAAGAAAACGTTCACAAAAATAAATTTTTAACTACATTTTATTTCCAAATAGTTAGTACACTCGCCGCTAGATGTCACTATTTGAATCTAATAAAACCAAATGTTGCTTTTTAGAACGTGGCACCTGGTACCTTTGCGACTGCTAACTTCAAGCTTACTCCTCCGTGGGCAGGCAGACATCAGATCTCGGCTAAGTTCACATCCAAAGAAATACGGGATATTGACGGATTTCTATCTTTTATTGTGTCAATGCCAGAAACCAACGGAGTGTCTTCTGAAACTGTAGAAACGAGGCAAATCTAATTTATCAGCTTTAAACATTTATTATCTAAATGAATAGTTTTAATTATGATAACAGCTCTTTATTTATTATTTTACATTTATTTAACATGTAAAACTTAATTATAATTTGTCATTTTATTGAATACAAACTTATTTAAGAAATGATTATGTGTTTTATTACATAAACAATATAAGTTATTTTCAATGAACTTACATGCGTATTCAAATCAATTAACCATGGTAAAAATGCGAGACTTGGGATTTAAAATGGTATTACATTTATAATGACGTGAAAAAAAATTAACAGTGAAAAATAAGTTTTTTTATTGCTTGGATGGGTGAAAAAGCTCACAGCTCACCTGGTGTTAAGTGGTTATTAGAGCTCATAGACATCTACAACTTAAATGCGCCACCCACCTTGAGATATAAGTTCTAAGGTCTCAAGTATAGTTACAGCGGCTGCCCCATCCTTCAAACCGAAATGCATGTAGCTGACAAAATACTTCAAAATAATTGTTTAAGCTAAATACATCTAACGTTTTATTTCGTACCTGAAAATTCTTGCATCAATAGCTTAAATGAGATGTGGTACTTCAGGATTGTCAACAAAATCGGCTGATGGCTTCTTTTCACTTGCATACAATCTTGGATCAATGGCAGCCGGTGTCGACTTCGGTCGGGTCATGTTTGTGAAATCTAAAACATCGTCAGCTGGTCCAATTTCAAGAAATTCTCTTTTAGTCTGACCGGATCGCAGGTATTCAGTTACTTTCGATTTGGACTTCGCTTGGACTTTTTCGGCAGTTTCCTTTTTTTTCGGTCTACTTATAATGCAAGCGTTACTTTTTGGCATTGTTATTACCAAATGCCCAGTGATTTCAGATCGTTGAGCTGAAGAATTAGTGATGTCCACTTCTTGTGGAAGTTGAATTTGGAATATTTTGTTCTTTATAGTGACTCTCACGTAATTAGCTTGGACATCAACATCGAGTAAACTAGTATCTAAGTGTTTGTAAACTGCTAAATCCAAGACATAGCTTGGGCCAGAGTCGTCGAAAACAAAATTGATCTTTGCTTGGTTTATATTGAACGGTCTACCGTCTGGAGCGAATAGTTTGTAAGTTCGTTTTTCTTCTTGTTTTGTTTCCGTTTCGTAGCTCTTTAGTTTCAGCTTACGCATTTTTTCAATTTCGTAACGAACTTCTGGAGCATGTTCACATTTTTCGGCCCAGAATTTTTTGTTTCTTTCCTCCGGGTCCATGTCTTTATATTCATTTTCCCATTTGTCTTTGATAGTTTTTTCCAATCGAGATTTTTGTTTTCTACGCTGTTGACGATAATTTTCTTGTTCGAACACTATATCAGAGCGTATGAAGGGAAGGTTTTGTAAGGCCATGATCCTCTCGGATCTTTCAATATCTTTGCCGTCCAAGCTGGTTAGCTGGGGTAGGGTTCCGATTACGAAGTTCTTGTAGTTATCGTAATCGGTGCAAGGGTTGCCAGTTAAATATAAACTTTCAAGACTGTAGTTACCGATAAGTGTTTCAACGCTCACAATATCACCAATAAAATTCAGTGTAAGGTCTAACTTACGCAGCGATTCGCATCGTTCTAGGTTTTCTATGACCTCGATGTTGTTCAAAGCTAAGTTAAGGTAAACAAGATTCTTTAGTTTGTTCAAGTTTTCTATTTTTGCTATGAGATTGCTCTGCATTAGCAGTATTTTTAATTTGGGGCACCAATCTTGTAGAAATTCAATTTTCTCGATATTTTCTTGATGGAGTGCAATTTCTTCTAATGGAGCCAGCAGGCAGTCGTGATGCTCAGCTTTTTTCCGTACTAATTCAACAGTGATTCTCACCATTTTCTACAAACTTTAGTGATGATTTTTGTGTATTTTCTCTGCTAAAAATGTTATAAACAGAGAATATGATCACTTTTAAACAAAATATAAATGAAGTGTGTCAAAATGTCACACCATATTGAGTATCGATGTCACTGTTTCCCTGGAAACTGTTTATTGGTAACGAATTCGTAACATGCAAAGCAAAAAGAACTGAATACTTATGGAGCAGATGGCTTACTCGCATGTGTGTGAAGTGATCGAAAATTGCCTACTAATCCCGCGTGTCATGCGCGTTGGTACGAAGAGAAAGCGGTTATACAAAAAAGTCGAAATTTCGACCTCAAGTTTAAATGTAGGGCGTTAATAGTAGCGTCACGTACTCGTCGTGACCAACGAGATTAATAAAAACAGAGAGTATGAAACGGCAAAGAATAACGCAGATTTTTTTTTTATATGAACACGGCAGGTGGGTAGCAGAGCGTTCATACTAAATGTACAAGATTTGATGTGGTTATCTTTCGATCTCGGCCGGTCGGTAATCCGTCATTTAACATACCAGCGGTGGCATCGAGAACGCTCAACTCGACCGTACTAAATTAATATTGCCCTGATGTAGAGGGTATTAAAATATTTTAAACGACGCCATTTATAATATGACGTTCGGATATCAAGTCGACAGAGCACAACATATATTATTCGACGAAACTGCCAAAAGACAATGAAGATGAAGGATTGCTATCATCAGGAACTTGTTTTGTTGTAAACGTCCGACGTAGGTTCACGGGACGAAAAAACAAAGTCGAGGAAAAAACTCGGGAGTGAAATAAAGCATGGCACAGGGAAAGACGGAGTTATTAGTGTGCGAGGCGCGGGTAGGGTGCGGCGCCCCGCGGTCTGTGTGTGCTTAGGGGACCGGCGCTGCGGGGCGCCACCGGGCTTGCGGCCGGCTCCCCGGGTCCGCACCCAACGACGCTCTCGCTTATTGGAAGCAGCTAATTCAACATTTTGTTGTTTAAACAAACTCTTAGTGGTCTAGTCGGTTATTAAATTTTAATACAAGCGATTTATTTGATAAATAATCGGGATACGCATTTTAAGTTCATGCCTTGATCGGTGATTCCCTTGTTTTGACGATAGATGTCGCTGTATTGGTTTAATTGTCAGACTGCCTGGTTATATTAATTGCACGTTTACCGAATTTTAGGAGAAAAACAATTTAAAAATAAATGTATGGTAGTTATTAGAGCACATCAGAGTTTGAATCGTTTTTTGATTCACAAAACTATCGATTATCGTCTGTTGACTTGATATTCTAGTGTCAGAAAACGTTAAAAAATCATTGTAATTTAACTCAGTAGATGTTTGCTTTAGAAATCAAAAATACGCAATGTAAATGCATAGTGGTATGACATACGAGTGTGAATTATTAAACTAATTTCCTAAGTGCCACGGTACATAATGAATTATAAAATTATTTGAAGTTTCTCGCCGGATCTTCTCACCGGATCGCGATTTCGATCCAGTAATAGATGAACCCGCCAAACAGCTACCCTTGAGCATTGAGACTTTGTTCGGAGGCGCTCGGGTGGTTGTTACCAAATTTCTCCCCTCCTGGTTGGCCCGTGCTCGGCCGCTCGTTCTGGCGAAACTAGGGAGGCCTCCGGGCCATTAGCCAGCCGGTCCAAGTGGTTACTTCATCTCCCAATAAGCTTCAAGCTCCAGTCGATTTTACGCATTACGAGATCTCACAAGAAAGTCAATGGGGCAAATTAGGTATCGGGCTAGGTTTTAATTTGTTTGTTTAATACAATTTTTTTTCTCGTTACCTCATACTCTCTCTCTCTCTCTCTCTCTCTTTCTCTCTCTCGCTCTCTCTCTAGAAATATGATAATCAAAATTTATGGCTGTGATTTGATTTATGAATATTCTGTAAATTACGTTATTTTTAGTGACCATAGCGAATATGTTGACACATTAAAATTTGTTTTACACATTACCGTGACATATTTAATTTGGAAATAATTCAAATAATTCGTTCGTCGACATTAGCAACGTAGGCCCACTGAGTTTCTCGCCGGATCTTCTCAGTGGGTCGCGTTTCCGATCCGGTGGTAGATTCTGCGAAGCACTGCTCTTGCTAGGGCCAGTGTTAGCAACACTCCGGTTTGAGCCCCGTGAGCTCACCTACATGTTAGGGCGAAGCTGATATAGTCTCTCAAGGCTATCAGCATAGGTAGGAGAAAAAAAACAACGTAGTGTAGCTACAACAGGGATTAAAACGGAGCGTCCCTATTTCCCACATTCCCGATCCTGCGGACAGAATGGAAAGCAGTCGACGTTGCCCCAAACACGTCATTTCGGATCCTACCGATCCACTAACGGTGCTTCTAGGTACCTCAAGCACCAGTCATCGTTCTCGTCGAACCTGTCGCTTGCGATGAAGGGCTCGACAAGTAAATTAACCCTCAGACACAGCCCACTGAGTTTCTCGCCGGATCTTCTCAGTGGGTCTCGTTTCCGATACGGTGGTAGATTCTGCGAAGCACGGCTCTTGATAGGGTTTGTGTAAGCAACGTTGTCTGGTTTGAGCCCTGTGAGCTCACCTACTAGTTAAGGTTACCCTGCTCTCAGCAAGGTAGGAAAAAAAACCTATTATTTATCGGTACCGTGTTTGAGTGAGCGATGACGTGTCGAGTATGTAACGTGAAGTTTGCTTCGAGGAGCCGTCGACTCCGTGCGTTGTTCAACAGAGCGTAAGCGGCAATCAGGCCGCGGCATCTCAGTGCGCGCAATCAACGATTTGTTCCGCCTATACAGCAGGGATGCAGCGAAGACGGCCTCGTCCGACTATTCTCACGTAAATAATTACCGGTCAATATCGAATTACAAGGCGCCGCGGCGACTTGCCGATACTCATCGCACAATACTCTTCATGTCCGCGATAATTTTCTCCAAATGCATCGCAAGCAAACAAATCAATTACATTAACTGCTGTTGTTCAAAGTTTTCGTTGCTCTGGCAATTCATGATTGGGATCGGAGTAATACTACCTTCGTTAGTTCTTATTTAAAATTTACATTAAATTAGTGGCAAGGGCAGCAAAAAAAAGCAATGATTTTTCTAAGTCATTAATTGAAATATTTATCATTTAAACGCGCGGCCTTAGAATAATTGATGGCGACACAAATTTTACGCTAGTTTCTTGGGTGTTTCTGAGTATGTAAATATAAAAAAAATGAAATAAGGAATGCAGATTCCATCTGCTTACATGTTTCGAATAATGTCCGCAGGCGATTGTGTATAAATAAATGATTAATCGCTAATAATACGCCCCCGAATCTAAGTTTAGGATGATCGGTGTAGCTCTCCTTCATCCTGTGGGGAGGAAAGAATAAAAGCTATGAAAAAGAAATGATATGAGCGAAGTGAGTGCGATGGTGTTGAGATAATAACAGAGTAGCGCGCCGCTGCCGGCCTTCGCCTTTGTACTGGCCGCTGCCGAAAATTACCTTTAGCAATATATATTTTTTAAATTTTGCATATATAATTTGACTAGCGTCCCGCTCCGGCTCCGCTCGGGTCTTTAACAAAAAATTTAACGATATTTGACGTTGCTTTATCTATACTAATATTGTAAAGCTGAAAAGTTTGATTGTTTGAACGCGCTAATCTCAGGAACTACTGATCCGATTTGAAAAATTCTTTCAGTGTTAGATAGTTAATTTATCGAGGAAAGCTATAGGTTATATAACATCACGCTAAGACCAATGTGAGCGGAGCACCAATAAAGAATGTTTCAAAATCGGGGTATTAATCCCTTTTGAGAGCTTCCGCTTCGTGCGCTGCAGAAACAGTTAAAGTTTCGCTAGAATAATGTATGACAGAAATGCTCCCTTTTAAAAGATCTAAAAAAAAGTCCGCGACAGTATATGTCTATATGTTAAGGTTGGCTCACTATAACGTTTTTGTTGCTAACCAAATTTGTTCTAAAATAAAGCATTATTTGTGAACGGATCCACGCGGACGAAATCGCAGTCAAAAGCTAGTTTTTAAAAATAAAAGAACACTTATTGCGGCATAGCTATAATAGTTAGACACATGCTGTCGCGACACTTTTTGTAAATAATAATGTGTTCTACAAAGTCGTAGTACATTTACATCAATACTTTTCGCAGGGCACGTGATGTAAAGAATATTTTAGGTAATTTTTTTACACCTTCGGTTACATTATTGGAGTTTTAGTAAGGATCCCTAATTTTTTTCAAAAAAGATTATAACCTATGCCACTCGGGAATAGTGTAGCATCCAAACAGTGAAAGAATTTTTCAAATCGGTTCAGTAGTTTCGGAGCCTATTCAATGCAAACAAACAAACAAATCTTTCCTCTTTATAATATTAGTATAGAGGTATAGATTTGTGAAATACGAATACTGCAATCGTTATAAAAATTACAGGAAAAATATATGGGATATTTTGTGATTTATTGCAACACTATGGGCTTTTTCTCATCAGCCCACAGACGTCCACAGCTGGACATAGCTAAGCCTCGCCACAAAGACCGGTCCTGGGCTGTCTGCATCCAGCGAATCTTGGCAAACCTCAATAGATCGTTGGTCTGTCTTGTGGGAGGCCTACCCACGCTACATCTTCCGGTACGCGGTCGCCACTCAAGACCTTTCTGGACCCAATGACTTAGTAATCGGTGATAGCAACCACGAGTGATATTTAAAACTACTTTAAGAATTTCAGTTGGCTCAATATTCAGTTGTCGTCAAATGTGCGGTAGCGGCGTATTGTGAACTCAACTACTTGGTCCTGCGAAACCAGTTACTTGGTACCGCCTCTGGCATTGCTGACCTCCGTGTGCGACGCTAACCACTCACCATCATGTGGACCATATGCTCGTCTGGGTATAACGACAATAAAAAGAAAATTTTAGACGTTCGTGACCACAAATAACTATAGATGTATCCGAAACCACGGAATAATAATTATAATAAATATAAAGGTGAGATTAAGTCGTATAAAGTATTTTTTAAATTACATATGTCTCGTGA